TGTTATTAGTGTGCAGACCAGATCAAACCAACATGAAAACGGCATAAAGAAACAAGTCTGAGATACTATAGCCCACACCTTTACTAGGGGACTGTGATCCATAGACACCAAACAGGTGTTCAACCACAAGATGAAGTAATTACAATTATATTATTATAAAATACCATTCTCTTTACAGTAGTATGGGAGCCAATTTCTTAGTGAATTGATCAATTTATGGCGATTGTAGTTTTTAATTTTTGTTGCAAATTTGTGCGGATACAAAATATTGAACTCTAGCTTTTAAAAATTGTCAGGCTCCATAATAAGGACACTTTTATAATGAGAACATTTTGTAATGTCCCAATTGGTACAAGCCTATACAAAAGCACCTCTGAAATGAGGACACCTCTGTATTAAGGACAGGTAGTGTGGGCCCAATGGTGTCCTTAATAAAGAAGCTACACTGTATGATATCACAGATCTCCATTATCCTTACTTGTTATAATTAGTTGGCACTTTATAAAAATGTGAAAAGGAAGCCTCCCTAGCTGCTGATATCACAGTAGTCTCTCTCTCTATCACTTCATAAATGATACAACTTTTAGCCGATTCAAGACAAGTCTCGTCAAACTTCTCTTCTCCGGATACAAAACGATTCTACACAAAAATAACGAACATTTAAAAACATGCATACATGTACATGTGCATATAATAATTTAATTTTCTCCCTCTCCCTCTCTCTCTTTCTCTCAAAGATATTTAATTAAGGAATCGTTAATTCGTTATTATGTCTAGAGAGATGCATTACTGAGGGGCAACAGTTTACACTAAATGTAAGTTATGCCGAGTGGTGTCTCTCTAATGTGATTGAGTACTTCAATTATCTCACGGAAACCTCCCTACATACTCATGTACTTTCATAGAAGACATAAACACAATTGAATAAAGGAAGGGAGAGAGGGGGGAGAGGGGGAGGGAGAGGGAAAGGGAGAGGGAGAGGAGAGATAGGGGGGGGGGAGAGAGGGAGAGAAGAAATAGACTACACCAAATCCTTTAATATAACTACTCAAATGTAACAATTCACATACATTGTACATTGTACATGTTATATTCATGTACATGCATCATG